CGTGAGCGTTAGTTTTATTATAGAATTAAAAAAAGATAATGGGTAGTTGTGTTATATAAAAATAGAACCCATTATCTTATTTAATTTAAAAAAAATTTAATATGAAAAAGTGTGAATTTATTATATTATCTTTATTTAATTAATAATTTCAGTTATATAGATTCAACATAAACATAAATAACTTTTTGGTCTTTTTTGACCCCAAAAAAAAAAAGAGAAGAAAAAAGAAGTCTCACTTGTCTTTTTTTTTTTCCTTCACCTAATTTTCCCTCATAAAATATGTGATGAGATTTGAGTTTGAACCAAAAACAGAATATAAAAAAATTCATCATATGTGTGGACTGAGAATATGTGGATTTTATTATTAATTGTTGGCATGCTCTCCGGCTATAAAAACCCATTTCCTGCTACTATAATACAACTACCATTACAGAGCCATTTGACTGAAGATTAAATGCAAGGGGTCAAAGTACTTTCATTCAACGAAAGAAAGACAATAGGAGGATAAAATAGAAAGAAACCAAAGGCAGTTGGAAAGGAAAAACGACAACAGGAAAGCACAAAAACTAGAAAAAGATCAAACTAGGGACCAATAACTATGATGCCTCCATAAGGGGAGCTCGTCAGCATCCAGAGCAGACTCACTAGCACCTAGGGGCAAGGAAGGCCGTCAGCTTGTAACACAAAGACCAGAGAGGATGGGGGGCGGGAATCCCAAACCTCATTGCACATCCTCCTCCCAGCTCGCTGAGTTGCAGCATGAATATAACAAATTAGAAAAACCAATAAAGTAACAAATTAGAAAAACCAAATTAATCGTGCATGTTGATTAAGTCAATAAAGTAATAATAAACTATGAGAGAGAGAGAGAGATTACTCACCGTTGATCTTTTTAATTAAACATCCTTCAATTGCCGCTTCAACAAAGCTATCCTCACAAAAAGCCAATCATTTAAACCATTCAAGAACTTCAAGTATGCGTATCTCTATGACTTTGAAAATATCAAGGTGCCACAAACTCCCCAAAATCCAGCAGCAAATCCAAGCCCCATACTAATGTAGAATCCTAGTGTTATTAGCCCATCCTTGTCCTCTTGGTTGATGAAGTCAGTTTGCTCACTTGGACCTCTTTCCACTTCATCAACACACATCTTTTTAAGTGGAGGCCCACAAAGTTGAAGATTCCCAACATAAACAGAGGGATCAAAGCCTTGGAGCTGAGTCCCGACTGGAACTTTGCCAGACAAGTTGTTATATGACAAGTCCAAGACACCAAGACGATCTATCCGAGCAAGGCTTGTTGGAATTCTTCCGTCTATATGGTTTCTTGACAAATCAAGAGAATCATCCTCATAGTCAGCTCCAGTAAATGAATGTTGATCAGTAGAAATTTTATAAACATGTGAGATGTTCAGACTTGGATTTTCTTTCTGAGCCAGAGCAATCAAATTGGTGAGGCATTTGGGTATACTTCCAGAGATGCTGTTCATGGAGAAATCTAAAATTTGAATGTGTGTTAGATGGCATAATTGTGAGGGCAGGCTTCCATTGAAGTGATTAGACAAAAGCATCAGGATAACCAATTTCTTTAAGCTAACCCCTAACCATTCAGGTATTGGTCCGGATAATTTATTATCCCCAACATCAATGACTACTAAACTTGTGCAATTCTTCAACGACGAAGGCAATTGTCCCACAAATCTATTGCTTCTTAATTTGAGTGTTTCAATTCGAAATGCGTAGCCTATTGTTGTAGGAATTTTCCCAGACAAAGCATTGTAACTCAAATCAAGCAGGACTAAATTCTCCAAATGTGTCAAGCAATCTGGAACTTGTCCAGAAA